AACCACATCTGTTGTCCTCCGATCCGTTCTATAACACAGGTTCTGATAAACTCTCCCCACCTGCTCTCCACCAGCCCCAGAGCTCAACACGTGCGCCACACCAGAGGCCAGGGAGGGAGCTCGGCCCGGAGATCGCCATGGCCGAGTGCGAGGAGCTGGTGGAGAGCGGCGTCACCGAGGACATGCCCCGCGTCGTGGCCGCCCTCGCCAGCATCCTGGAGCGCGTTGCGGACCGCAACGACGCGGCGGCGGCCGCGGAGCTCTCGGCCGTCGTGGCCCCGGCGTCGGCGTTCCGGGCGACGACCAAGCCGGGTATCTCGGTGCGCGCGTACATGGCGCGCATCGCGCGGTTCGCTGGGTGCAGCCCCGCGTGCTACGTCGTGGCCTACGTCTACCTTGACCGCCTCCTGCGCCGCGGCCGCCGCCTCGCGCTCGCCGTCGACTCCTACAGCGTGCACCGCCTCCTCATCACCGCCGTGCTCGCCGCCGTCAAGTTCATGGACGACATGTGAGTCCGATGTATCCCTCTCTCCGTGCCTATTGGTATCGCGATCAAACGAACCAACTGTCTAGCTGAATTTGCGGCGTAGCTGCACATGATCGTCTTCTCGATTAGGTATCTGTCGGTCTATAATTGGGAACACGTAGGTCAAGTGACTTGGTGCGGTTCGCTCTGTTCTTGGTATGTTCAGATGTTCTTGATTCTGAAATTTCCATGTGCTGCGTAGAACGCCTGGATTTAAACACCATGATGGTGAATTGCTCGGGAGAAAATCAATTGGACCACCTGAATTTCTCTTCTTTGATATTAAGATTTGTACCATGGAAAAATTCAAATGTTTTGGATTCTTGTGCAAAGAGTTGCTGTGACAAAGTGCTATATTATTACAACTCAACATAGGCATCTTTTGCTGCTCCTCTGTTCTCCCAGCTCCCAAGTTCAGAATTCTGCTAGCCAGCCAGGAATAGTTTAGGAGTGCCGTCCAAGTAACTCAAGCATTATTTCCACTCCTAGGAAGCTAGGATCTCTCCGGAATTGCGTCCCATTGTTATGTAGCTACTATTCGGTGAAGTTACTTCTGGTAAACGTCAAAAGAAAATGGAAAATTTACTTGTGATAACATTATCGTGAAAGTGTCTGTGTTACAGTATCATATACAACAGTTTGTCCTAGCAGCATAAGAAAAGTGTGCAAAACACTAATCAATTCAGAACTTTTGGCGGCAGCCATTGATCCATACATACAGTACTGTGCTAATGATCATCACAAGACAAGAGAAGGTAGGAGTCCTAGTAGTAGGCTAGGCATTCACTTCAATAGTTCAACTATGCTATGTGAATGAAACTAGGCCGTTCACTGGGTAATACAAGCCTTCAATTTTGTCGTCCTTGCAAACAAGGCAATCGACCATGGACGACAAAGTTATGCTTGTCCAGCGAAGCGACCCCGGTTGTTCCTGAGTTGCTTGCGTGCATCCAGCCACACACATCCACCGTGGACCCGAAGACAAAAACTAGAATTTCCACCCTGCCCCCGTCACCTTTCTGCGGCTTGGAATTTAATCCGGCGCCAGTTGTAGGGGATTGGGACTGCCAACTTGCCATCTGCTGCTGATGTTTGCCTCTTGCTCACTTCCTCATGTCAGGGTCCCAGGAGCATCCAGCCATCCCCCTCTTCTTGCTTTTCTGGTTATCATTAGTCTTTGCTTATTATTGGGCAACTTGCCATTCTTAAAAGGTTCCGTTGGGTGCCTGTTCTGTTTGGTAAAATTTTGGTCGCGCTTTTGTTCGGTTGCATGATTATTTGCCTTGTTCGGTTGCATGATTATTGCCCTGACAGACACTTTTACTGTAATTTTGTCGTCAATCATTGGCCAAACTCAAGCATAAGAAAAGCAGAAAGAATACAAGGAATCTACTCCTATGTAATATGACAAATTGACAACGCGGTTTTTCTTTGGAAAAAAAAAAGAAGTTAGGCTGAGAAGAAGTTTTTTTTTTCTGACATGGCTGAGAAGAAGTTACAGTTGAATGAACGCTGAAAGAGAGTCAAAGTAGGCTGATGTGTATTTGTGCACGCACGCAGATGCTACAACAACGCCTACTTCGCCAAGGTCGGGGGCATCAGCCTGGTGGAGATGAACTACCTGGAGGTGGACTTCCTGTTCGGCGTCGGCTTCGACCTGAACGTGTCGCCGGAGACGTTCGGCGACTACTGCGCCGTGCTGCAGTCCGAGCTGCTGTGCGCGGAGGCGGAGGCTCCCCCCGCGCCACTCAGGCTGCAGTACTGCTGCCTGTCCGAGGACGACGCCGGCGCCGGATGCAGCGCCCAGCAGCAGCTCGCCGCATGAAACCCAAGCCGATGTATCGACTTGGGAGCATGTGCATGTCAGTCGGCACGCGTCGACGACGTATGTACTACTAGTTAGCTGGTTGCTGTGTTCTTGATGTGCACTCTTCCTGCATTTTTGGTTGGTGTAGTGGTGGTGTAGCCGTGTAGGTGAATCAAAACATATAGTATAGTCGTCATCGGTTGTACCAGCTGCAGTAGATTGTATATATAGTGTTGGTGTCTTGGTGACTTTCTGAATCGTGTGCGTATACGTTGGTTCTGTTGGAAAATTAACTTTAACAAGCAATGAGGATGAGGTGTGTGCTATATGCAGCAGTGTCTCCATTGGATGCAGGGGCGAAGCCACGTTAATCTTGCCGGGTGCCCATGCACCAGGGTAAAAAAAAATACTACTAACTATATAAATTTTTACCATGTATTGCTACCAGATTAATATATATCTCCTAAGTAGTGCACCACCCCCTAATTGGATGCAGCAATGCGCCAACCACTACTTAAAGGTAAGGGCTGGAGTACCCTAGTAAGCAACAAGGCAGACAGTAGGGCTCACACGAAAGATCCGATCGTATGGCAATAATTACGTGCAAGCATCCAAATCTTTGGTACAGGGACACTGCAACACGATGAAAAAACTTTGAACATGGTGGTGGCGTTTTCAGGTGAATGAGTAAGGCCACTCTCGGTACAAATTCCATTATTCTCGTTTAATGGAGTGTAAAAGAATCGATTCAATGAGTGTATTTGAAACAACGCAATGAATGAATTAAAGAAAAAAAGGTCCAATGAGTTCCATCTGGATGAAACCTCCAGGAACTCTATTTTTAAGTCTTAATGTGCCACAAAATTAAATGCAATGAGCTTATTTGAAGCATAAAAGTTGAAACTATGCATTATGCTAAGGTTGATCCAACCATATGAATCAAATGCTCTATGCTGATGTGCCATATTTGGAAACAACAAATGAAACTATCAATTTAGATCGGTCTAAACAGTCACTCCTCCACGTGTACAACTAGTGGTGATGCACACTTGAGGCAACTTTATTCAGTACACACTCAAACTTGCTAAGTAGCACTGCCACTAGCCCCTCCCGCTTTTTCCCTTTTTGGCGTTCTTTGTTTTTGTAGTTTTTTTCTTTCATATTATGGAAATTTTCTTGATCTTCTTATTGTCATCCCTCCCTACATCCCTTCTTCCTTCTAGTGTCCGATGGCTCCATCCCCTTCAACCTTATATAGCTGACAACACAACCTCATCGTGTTGACCACTGCCTTCGGCTTCCACCACCACCCATAGTAGTGGAAACATGTTGCCTACCCTCTCATTTCCCCAAATCCACTAACCTATTTGATTTCTCATCCATGCCATCGACCCCCATGGTCCTCCACAAACTATGCGCCCTTGCCTTGCCTTGCCACTGCCATGTCGTCGCCCACCCACAACTATCTTTGTATAGCTACACTCATCTATTCTTCTCCAACTTCGATGTCACCCCTAAGCCCAAAACCTAAACATAGCACCCACCACTGGTTTGATGCAAATAAACATTATCACCGCCACGAACCGGCGATGAAAATCATTTCACCAAGGGTTCGTAACACGAACCAGTGGTGAAAGTGGCGGTGGTGATGATGACTTATGTAGTAGTGACTTCTATAGATGGACGACACTGGAGGTCTCCCAAGTGGGAGCTTGGAGGGTGTGGTGTTGGTGGTCATGGACATGGCGCTATCGAGAACGGCTCTTGTGGCAGCGCAAAAGGCGACAGGGTGTGTGGCGAACGCGAGAATGGAGCTGTGGAGAGCTCGATCTCCTTGACACATTGGAGTCGCGTTTTGTCGTGATGTGGCAGACGACAATAGTATTTTTTATACATCAATACTTCAAGTGCAAGCTGTAGTATTTAAACATAGCACAAACTCACATCACATGCATGCACTGATGCACACGCGCGCACACCATGTGCAAGCTACATCCGCATTTGAGACTGCAAGCTGCAAAGAAAATGGAAAAAAAAACCCCAATGCGAAACATACATTGAGCAGTGCTCGAACTCAGGTCGCGGGTGCTCTACTGAGCACATCCAACCACCAAGTCATCAGATCGTTCGCTTTTTACAATGGTATATATTTAGTCTAAATAAAATCAGTTTTCCAAACATGCCCTAAATAGTTTTTCTTTCCTTTTTTTTTTTTTGAGATTTCTTTCCTATTTTGATTGAGCTCTGCTTGGGCCCATAGTTTTCGTCTGGCCCAATTCGGCCCAACATGCCCTGCCATCACCGTATCTGTGATCTTGCGGTTCCCCTGATTATATTAGGAAAAGGGTTCGTGTTTCCCTCAAACACAGGGTTCGTGTTCGCCGGAGTCACGACGGCGCAGTCGCACGGCCACGGCCGCGCTACCCGCCTGTTCCTAAACCTCCAGACCTCGCCGCACCGCGCCACCATGCCATGAAGTCCGAGGCGCCGATCGCCCATCATCTTGGCCCCGCGGTGCAGGTACTCAGCCGCCACCATCACCGCCTCCCGAACGGGCCCTCTCCAGTCTCCACATTGCCCGCTCGGCCGTTTCCTTAGATTTTGTCTGACTGTTAGCGCTTGCAGGTATCGTGGGTCGCTTGTTTGGTCTGACCGCGCGAGGCGTCGATGGAGGGTGGGGGCGGGGGCGGGGCGCCGGTTTCGCCTATTGCGGGCGGCGCGCGGCGGCACAAGGTGCTCGCGCCGTGGCGCTTCCAGAGCGGCTTCGTGCGGCGGGAGATGAACGCCGGCGTTGTTTCCGATGGGAAGCGTGGCGGCTTGGAGACGCTCCAGATGAGCTGCCAGACGGCGACGAGTGACGAGCCCTCCGTCTCCCTGAACGACGGAAGCGGCGTGGATGGGGAGAGTCCAGCGACCGATGGGGAAATCGAGGTTCCGAATAACAGAGGTGGCGGAGCGGTAGACGGAGAGAATCGCGGCTTGGGTGGTGTCGACGGCAATCCGGCTGCCAAAGAGGGCGATTCACTACCCAAAGATGGCGAATTTCCTGTGGACCTTGAGAACGACATAGTCACAGTAGATCCCCATGGGATGGCCAAACCTAGTGATCTCCCGGGTTTTCAGAACAATGGCCCTGCCGAGGAGACCAATTTGGCAGTGAACAACTCAGAGGGTTTCATGACCAGTGAGGGCACTGTACCAGGTTGCAGAAAGGGGCGCAAGGCTGTTGTGCCATGGAGGTTCCAGATCGGGTACCAGCCCAAGTGGTCACGAGATTTGTTCTCAGGAAATAGATCTAATGGAGAAGCTGAAGATCCAACATCCAAGGTCGGAGATGGATCAAGGAAGGCTGCTCCTGCCATGGCACGCAACCACTCTCGTCTCAAAGGTTCAGCTACTAGTGGACGATCTTCAGTGAGAATTCCTAAAGGAACTGGTTCAGCACCAAAGAAGAGGAAAGTTGACAAGGATGACCAGTATGAAGCGATGGCAAATAACAGAATTTCCGTGGTCAGAGAAAATGTATTGACTACGTTGCGGGAGTTCCGGATAGTTTACAAGAAGCTCCTGGAGGAAGAACAGATCAAGTGGAGGGAAAGGGGGCATGGTCTGAGCCCTGATCTTGCAGCTTTCAATATTTTTAGGGAGAGATTTTGTGCCAATTACGATGACCTGAAGTATGACGGAAGCATTCCTGGAGTTCGTATTGGTGATGTGTTCAATTCTGTCATGGAGCTTTACACTGTTGGTATACACCGTGCACAATCGTTAGCAGTTGATCACATCAGAAAGAAGGATGGGACGTGTCTAGCTGTTAGTGTTGTGTCGTATGCACAACCTTCTGCTTTTGATAGTTTGGATTTCCTGTTATACGTTGGATCAGTGACTGACACGTGTGATCAGGAAATGGAAGGAACTGACATGGCACTAAAAGAGAGTATGGACACTGATACCCCTGTCCGCGTTATCCATGCAGTGGTAACGGAGCTAGGTGATGACTGCCAACCCAAACAGCTTACTAGTTATGTATATGGTGGTTTATACTCGGTTGAGAAATTCAACAGAGAAAAAACATCAGGAAGTCAGTATGTTAGTATTTTTCATCTAAGAAGAATGGCAGAGCAGCAACACATCGACCTACAAGTTTTGAAAACTAAAATGCCGGAATCATTTGCTGGCACTTTCATTGTAGACATGTCTGGAGGTCTTGAGAAGGTTCCTATTTCTGCTATTAACTCTATATCAAATGAGTACCTGACAACATTTCACTACATTTCACAAATACAGTATCCCCTAAAGTACAGGCCAGATCCTCCATCAGGTTGTGACTGTGTTGGTGGGTGTTCACTCTCTCAAAAATGTGCATGCGCGGTAAAAAATGGCGGGGGCTTCCATTTCAACGATATTGGTGGACTTACGGAAGGAAAACCTCTTATTTATGAGTGTGGATCATCATGCAAGTTTCCTCCTACTTGTCGCAATAGAGTTAGCCAGCATGGAATCAAGTTTCGCCTCCAGGTCTTCAAAACCAAGTCAATGGGGTGGGGAGTAAGAACTCTTGACTTCATACCAGATGGAAGTTTTGTATGCGAATACGTAGGAGAGCTATTGACGGATGAAGATGCCCAGGAGAGAAAGAATGATGAATACCTATTTGCTATTGGGAATAGCTATTATGATGCACCTCATTGGAAGGCCGAGATCAAGGCTATTCCCTCTCTTCAGAATGGCCCTAGTGAAGATGACGAAACTGTCTTTGCTGTTGATGCATTGAACCAGGGCAATTTCGCAAGGTTCATCAATCATTGTTGCACCCCGAACCTTTTCCCGCAGAATGTCCTCCATGACCATGACAATATAAGTATGCCTCACATCATGTTTTTTGCTAGTGAGGATATTCCTCCCCTTAAAGAGCTATCGTATGATTACAATTATCAAATAGATAAGGTTTATGATTCTGATGGTAACATTAAGATGAAAGAATGTTTTTGTGGGTCTAATGAATGCAATGGACGGTTGTATTAAATCGATCCTATGATTACAATTATCAAATAGTTTATGGTTTATGCTTCTGATGATAACATTAAGATGAAACCATGTTTTTGTGGGTCTAATGAATGTAATGGACGGTTGTATTAAACTTAATTCCTTTGTTTTTGTGGACACCATGTTATGAATGTAATGGACGGTTGTATTAAATTTAGTAACTTTGTTTTTTGTGGACACCATTGTTTTTTATAGAATATGTATGGACAGTCTTTTCCAATGCGACAAAATAAAGCGGCATTGTGTCTATTTTTCTTTGCTAAAGGGGTATTTCCATGGGTTTGCCTTGGTATCGTGTTCATACTGTCGTATTGAATGATCCGGGTCGATTGCTTTCGGTGCATATAATGCACACAGCTCTAGTTTTTGGTTGGGTTTTTTTGATCTATTGAGTTTACCTTCTTTGTTTAGATGAAATTCGTTTATGCTTGTAGCTTGCCTTATAATTTTAGTTTGTAATTATGTCTTTCAGTATTGGATTGGAATAACTGAGCATCTCCAAGAGTATCTTATATTTTCTTCCTAAAAATATGTACTTTTACAACTCCTAAAATGATATTAGGAGGAATCATTAAAGGTTATCTCCAAGAGTTTCTAATAATTCATTTAAAAAAAAATCTAAATTTGGCTCCACAAGCTACAAGAAGCTGCTGCCGGCGAGGTCTGAGTCTGACCTCGTCCATGCCAATCGGCGCGGCCGGCCTTCCATCCCCTAGACCCCTACGACGACGACGACGACTGCATCCGTCTCGCAGTGCCTCAACAATTATAATTAGGTTAATAAAATCAACCAACGAATCAATCTGGCAGCCGCGACGGCCTACCGAACCAAATAAATCAAACTAGTACTACTACTACTCCGGCCGACCAGGCTCAGCAGCAGGGTTGCCGGCGCCTCCGCCTTGCAGTGCCTCCGTATGGCCTCGTACGAGTAGGACCCGCCGCCCGCGGGGTTGTTGCCCGCTGTTGTTCGTGCCCGCCGCGGCGTATGAGGAGCTGGAAGCCCCTGCCGCGGCCGCGGTCTGTCTTCTTGAAGTCGATGAGGCCGCCGTCGGCGTACGGCGAGTTGATGAGCCATCCCCACCGTGGACGTGCAGTCTTGCCGACCCCGGCGACGTCGAGGAGGCCGGCAAGCTCCGGTCGGTGCTCGGGAGGCTCCTGCACGAGTACGCCCTGGGGCAGCGAGCACGCCGAGCAGGTGGCGAAGCGCGTGCTCATGGCCATGGCGCGGCTGCTGGGGTTCGGCGAGGGGTTCTTCCTCGACTGAGTCGGCGAGAAGGGCGGCACGCCGGCACGTACGCACGGTTCACCTAGTCGCGGCAGGATCCGCGCAAGCGCAACTGCGCGTATCTTTACGCGCAAAGGACTCAGTTTTTAGAAGTGCTAAAAGATTAGTAGTTGGTTTTAGAAACCGTTGGACACCTGTTTTTCTTAATTTTGCTAAAAATTCTAGATTAGAAGAGTGTTTTAGAAACCCTTGGAGATGCTCAGCACACTAACTCATGCAGACTTCCTATTTTTACTAACCTCAATCGTTACCAGATAGTAAACACTTCACATACTTCTTGTTCATACAAATACTTTGCACTTTAAACCTATGCATTCATAAATTAAATTGTTTGATCCTTCCCATTTACTAACACTTTTGATTAATTAAATTTGAATAAGAATAGTATATTAGTTCAATGGGTCATGTTGACCCATTATGAGAAATAATCCAAGATTCTAGTATTGTGCGCCCTATCTGGGACCTATGGTCTTTGCCCATTACTTTCTTTAATTCGAATTATCTGTTGTGTAGTGTCTACTGTATCAGAAAAACAGACATGAATTACTGTATTTGAAACACATGCATTTTTTATTATTGATTGTCAGTTGTGTCATATTTTCAGCTTCCATCTAGCGAACTTCATGTCTGAATCTAGAATCCAACATGGAACACTGCTCATTTTAACTGCCGCACGATTTGATCCCCTGAATAAAGAATCAATTAAAACTAGCTGTTGTCTTCTGGACGCTTATTGTAAGCAAGCTTCCAGGAATATTTATTTATGCTTTCATGGGCAAAAAAGGGAATTCTGCCCTTGCATATCTTGGTCATCGTGGTTGGAAGCTGATTAGCACCTCAGTTTCTTGAACACTGAGATTTAAACCTATGTCTGCAATGAGGATATAAAAAAGGGAATTCTGCCCTTGTATATCTTTGTCATCATGGTTGGAAGCTGATTAGCACCTCAGTTTCTTGAACATTGAGATTTAAACCTATGTCTGCAAAATCTGAAGTTCCTGAAGCTAAACCCAATGTATGCTGTAATCTGACCCGAGTCCATTACCTCCAACATTATCTGCTTTTTTGCTGTTTCCTAAGCTTACCTTAGATTTTTTGGAAGCTAAGCACTTTTCTGCAAGGATCCAGTTGTGTTCCATCACATCGATTTTACTGATGTCTGATGAAGAACCATAGTAATGGTAACATTAGCTGCTACGTTTCGTCAGTACTGATTCTGAACTAGATGAGTTTGGTAGCATCTCTGAAGTCAATAACTGGTAACAATGATATATGTGCCAGTAGAGAACTGATTTTAAGGTATAGCAAATTGGTAATAGCCATAATACCTTCTGCTGGTTTATCGTACACATCACAGGCACCGGAGTAATTTGCACTGGCGTCAGCCAGGGAAAGGTAAGCATCAGTTGCATACCAGGGTCATGATACAGGTCTTATGCCCAAACTGAAGCTCATATTTCTGTTTCTCACACCTATATTAGTATTGAAACACTCCGCATAAGGACACTTACGAACTATGACAGTCGACAAGAAGCGCGCTTGATAACACCATGGATGCACTGTATTACATCGCGCATAGCTACAGTACATGTAAATTTCTGCGTTCTGTAGACAACATATTTTCTGTCATTGCTAGTTGCAGGTTGCAAACAAGGACGGGCAGCTTCATTTGTTGCCGCCACCGTCCTTGTGTGCTGGTGCCGACCTCCCGCCGCGGAAATGGCCACGCTTGCTCCAGCCTCCACCGCTGAAGAGCCCCTTGCCCTTATACCCAGCCCCACCTCCGTCGCCACTCCCGCCAGATACACCATGAAGTTCATCACCATCTCCGGCGCCAGCACCGGAGCTGCCGTATCCACCACCAGAGCCGTCACCGCCACCATATCCTCCACCGCCGTTCCCATCTTCTCCAGCATGCTGACCACCACCGAACCCACCAGCGTCTCCACTGCCGAAGCCACCCCCGTTGCCACCACCGTTGCCGCCTCCAAAGCCACCGCCACCGCCGCTGCCAAAGCCACCCCCGCTGCCACCACCGTAGCTGCCAGAACCGCCTCCTCCAAAGCCGCCATGATGGCCTTTATACCCGCCAATGCCAAAACCAAACGCCTTTCCACTCCCTCCACCTCCGCCACCGCCACCGCCACCTCCTCCACCACCACCACCTTCGCCTCCACTTCCACCATAACCAAATCCGAACCCTCCTCCCTTGCCATCAGGCCCCGCAGCCCAGCTCCATCCATACTCCCATGAACCACCGCCAGGGCTCGACCCATGCGCGGACCCCGAGTCACCGGTCCACCCGGGCGGCAGCGTCTGCCCCGTCGTCTCGGGCTCTGCCACTGCCGGGCCTCCGCCCTCCTTCTCCCCGTCGTCGACGCCCGCGCACTGCACGAGCGCGAACGCGGAGACGAGGAGGGCGAGAGCAAGCACCAGTGCCCGCTCTCTCCGTTGCTCACGACTCGTCCCCATCGTCGCTTGCACGCCACTCCCTTCAACAAAGCTACGGCGAGCCTACGAAGACTCGCGCGTGCGCTAGCTCTTGCTTTCTACCAGGTCCAGGACTCGTGTTTGGGCTCGAAAGCTTCAAGTCGGCTTGCGATTTGTTGCCGCCGAATGGATGTCCCGTGGCCGGCCTATTTATAGCGGCCATGCCATGCGTTGGTAAAGTGGTAATGGATGGGTGAAAAAAAATCTGTCCACGAGATCTCGCGCACCACCACCGGCCCATTCTGAAGCGATCTGCTTGACTGCTACCGCTGCTGCGTGCATGCTTTTGGCATCCGCTTTGCCGCATCGTGCATGCTCTCTCTGTGCTGGCTTGCTTTGCGCCGGCCGGTCGCCGTAATTGCTAAAATTTGTAACGAAAGTAGCTTTCAGGCTTATCTCCTCCGTGACCGCACTGGAATTGCATGAAAGCGAAGCATTGTTCGTTTATCCGATGGGAGTATTTTATCTTCGCTGTGCGTGCTGGTGCTGGTTGCCAAGAGTCCCCGAGTCCCGTGAGCCCGTGACCTGAAGAATCTGGTAGCTGTTGTCCGTTGGCTAGTGTCGACATATGCTTTGCCGAAGTCGGCGAAAAAATTGATGCGCGAGACACTGTGCAGGTTGCTTGGCTTTGTTCGTCCGTTCCAGAAGTGGGGCTCTGTGGGAGCGACACTGCCAAGCGTCTAGGCATCTACCAAGTAGCATGGCCGGGAGGCGCGCGCGTTGCATTCCCGTTTGATGGGGAAGCCAGTATGCTAATACTTTGAAAAGTTTGAAGAAAAAAAAACTATTTCTAGGAGCAGTTCAATTGATATTGTCAACCGTCCGTCCGTCTTTACAAATCATTTTTTATGAACGGTTATATTTTCGACCGTGAATGGAAATCGATTTCTAGGGACTGTCACATAAAACCATAACCAGAATACATGATTTCTAGACTCTTGGACCACCCCTTATAATTGATTCTGTACTAATGGTTATGATTGTTTAGTTCTTGATATGTCGATCTATATTATTTCTGGTTTTTTTTACTGATCATTCATTACCGCACCACCAAGTATGCTACTCTAGGTTTAGAAAATGACGATGTATCTTCTATTCTTGTTTTCATGAAATGTAGTGTAAGATAGCAGAGGAATTCGGGAAGAGGAAAACGGCAGGGGGATCTGGTTGAATAGGACTATAGGACTATAGGAGTAGTAGA